CGGGGAGAAGGGTGCAACAATGAATGAATGGAATTCCAAAATCTCTGTAGATGTTCATTGAAATGAAAAATAAACAAACTAAATAAAAACAAAACAAAACAAAACAAAACAAAACAAAACACCAAAAAACAACAAACCTCGAAGATCAGAAGAATAACTTAAATGAGTACTAACACTCAAATGACAAAATAAGTAAGGGATGGGGGAGATATAAAGGGGAAAAGAAAATGCCAACCGTACTTAAATCCCTTTTTTTAAAAAGGGGGATTTATTTTTGACTTAAAAGTCTTTACTCAAAATGAAATTTATGTCTGCTCTCAATGAAAAAAATCACTAATACATTGTGGACACCTTTTACAATGTGAATCCATACCTCCCCTTTTTATTTTTACATGATGAACTTCAACCTAGGAATAATTATAACAAATGTTATAATCTAAAGCTCAAACACATTTTAGCATTTTTGAAATTGAATTGAGTACAAACCAAATGAAATTTACATCATACAAACATTCCTATCTAAGACGAGGGAACACTTGCACCTTCTGCATTAACCTCAGGGTCTTTTTCACATAGATGCTTTTCTAAATCATCAAGGTTGTCTTCAGCTTCATTTTCAGTCTCCTTCTTGGGCTCTGGCTCTGCCTCTGTTTCTGTGCTAATGTGGTTGCAGGAGCAGCAATGGCTGCAGGAGTGACAGCAGCTGCGGCAGCTACAGCCATTGCCTTTTCCTTCTTGTGTTTTTGTTTATTTAATTTTTGTGCTTCTTGTGCTTCTTTTCCTTTTGTGTTTCTTATCCTTTTTTTTTTTCCTTCAGCTTCCTCCTTGTTCTGAATTCCTTGCCCGTGATGGGGTCGGTGTTAGGCTTTTAGCCTTTTTCACCCTCGCCGCTGGTGACCAGTTTGTGGTGGCTGACTGAGACTGGACAGGGAATGGAGGTGTCTGGAGTTTTATAGCTGCTGGCTAAGGTGATCCTGAGATTTCCGTTACTCGTTTTGTTATTCACGGCTTTGCAACCTCCAGATTTACTTTGCTCATGTCTACCTTTTTGTCTAGGCATTCTGAAAATTTCAGCTGCTTTAGTAACTTCTGTTTGTTGCTGAGTTGATTACCCTTTTCTGCACTTGTTCCACAGAAGAATCCCGTGGCCATCTTGCTGCCTCCTTGAGTGCATCTTAATGATATCTCTGAACAAAGACTACACATTATTTGAGGAAAAAAAGAAGTGAAAAGAAATACAGGATGATGGAAGAAGGCAGGTGTTAAACAGAAAAGCTATTTGTCTTTCAAAATGGTACAGTAAAATATTAGTCATTGACTACCCCTATTCAATACAGTGATGTTTTATTAACTATACAAAAGCATTTGATTCTGTGGATCATAATAAATTATGGATAACATTTAGAAGAATAAGAATTCCAGAACACTTAACTGTACTCTTGTAGAAGCACATGAACCAAGAAACAATTGTTCAATCACAATAAGGAGAAATTGTTTGTTTTTGTTGTTATGTGCTGTCAAGTTGCCTACGACTAATAGCGACCCAATGCACAACAGCTCCAAGCCCTGCTCTATCCTATGCCAATCTCACTGTCTCTGACACACCTACCCCATTACCCCAGTCACTGAATCAATTCATTTCATCAAGTGTCTTCCTTTCTTACACTGTCCCTCCACGCTCCCAAGAATGGCATCCCTCTCTAAGGACTAGCTCCTCCTTGCAATATGTCCAAAGTATGTCAGATGAAGCTTCAGAATCCTTGCCTCCAAGGAACAGCCTGGTCTCAGCCTCTCTTAGATGAACCTGTTTGTTCTCCTAGCAGTCCATGGTATAGTCAATATACTTCTCAAGCACCACAGCTCAAAGTCATCAATTCCCCTTCTATCATTTCTAGTCATTGTCCAACTTTCTGATGCATAGCAGGTAATTGCAAAGATCATGGCCTGATCAGGCGCACCTTATTAACTAGACTGGCATTCTTCTTTTTCAGTACTTTGCAGAAGTCTTTGACAGTAGACTTTCCCAACATGGTTAAAATAAGGAAAGATGTATATCATGGTCATCTGTCACCACACCTGCTCAGTTTCTATGCTAATAATCAGAGAAACTACACTATATGAAGAAGAATGTGGCATCAGGATAGAAGGAAGACAAATCAACAACTTGTGACATGCATATGACACATATTTGCTTGCTGAAAAAGGATCTGAAACAGGGAAGAAACTATAATCTTCAGTATGGATTACTCTATATCATAAAGAAAGCAAACATCTTCATAACTGTAGCAAGCAACATCATGTAAAGAGAGAAAAGATTGACATTGTCAAAGATTTCCCTTTCACTTGAGTCTACAATCAATACCCATGGAAACAGCAGTCAAGAAATCAAAAGACACACTGCACTGTAAAATATGTTGCCTAGGTAATCTCTCCTTCAATTACCTTCTACTGTTCTAAGCATAATGTTCTTATCTACAGACTGGCCTATCCTAACAATGTACCTAACCATGTGAGACAAATTCTCTCCATTCTTGCCTCTAAGGAACACTCTGACTGCGCTGCTGTCAGGACAGATTTGCTGATTGTTTTGGCAGTCCATGGCAGTCAATATTCTTGGCCAACATCACAATTCAAAGGCATCAATTACTCTTCAGTCTTTCTTATTTATGGTCCAGCTTTCACATACATGAGGTTATTAAAAATAACATGCACATTTAATGTTATTTTCATTGGTTTCAGAACCCCAACTGGTGTCTGGTGTCTCTGCTTTTTTAACACATTGAGGAAACCTTATAAGACAATCACACACACAACAGAAACCCTCTTCTCTTTGTTTTGCAACTTTCACTTCAAAGGAATAGCGTCCACTCCCATTCGGGAATATGCTTCTTGAATGCCTACTGCTTCCCCTTCTCCCTAGAGTTGATCTTTTTTGCCCTTCTGACCCCGTATAATTAGTTCCTACACTAATTATCTTCTTGTAACCCCACGTAAGCCAGGGAATCCAACTGAAAACTAGACCCACTCCTTTGACTTCTCATCTCAACACTGAGGCCTAATACAACAGTGTTTGTTATTGTTGTTGTTTAAATGCTGTTTCCATAGTTGTTGATTGTAGATCACATCTGTGACAATTTCAATCTTTATCTATTCATCACAATATTTCTAATTTGTTGTGAGAATTTTGGGGTTTTTAAATTAAGGATTAAGTATGTAATCCATACTGTAGGTTTTGATCTTCATTAGGAAATGCTTTAAGTCCTCTTCATTTTCTATATACGAGAATGTGTCATCTACTGCATCTTGTTAATGAGTCATCCTCCAATCTTGATTCCATATTTTACTTCATATAGCCCAGTTTCTTGGATTATTTGCTCAGCTTCAGTAGGTATGGTGAAAGGATGTAACCCTGATTCATGTCTTCTGATTTTTAAATCGTGCAATATTTGCTGCTCCTTGGTCTGTGACAGGATCCACCTGAACAAAACTAGTGTTCGTAAGAATTCAAATTCTTTGCAATGTTATAAACAATCTGCTATGATCCACACAGTCTGATGTCTTTGTATAGTCACAAAAACATAGATAAACATCTTTCTGGTTTTCTCTTTTAGCCAAGACTCATGCAAGACCTGTGATGGTATCCCACTGCATGTCTTCTTTTTAATCTAGCTTGACTTTCTGGCAGTTCTTTGGCCATGTATGTGCTGCTGCAACTGCTTTTTATTCATCTTCAAGATTTACTTATGTTGTTAGCAAAGATATCATTGAGCAATTTCCATTCTGTTGAATTATCATTTTGGGGGATAGGCAAAAATCTGGTTCATTCCTATTGTTGTTGTTGTTGTTATGTGCCATCGAGTCGTTGGCGACTCATAGTGACCCTATTTACAAGAGCCCTAAAGGCCATTCTATCCTGTGCCAACCTCACTGTCTCAAACATTCATTCCCACCACTCCACTCACAAAATCGATCCATCTCATCAAGGGTCTTCCTCTCCTGCGCTGTCCCTCCACTCTCCCAAACATGATGTCCCTCTCCAAGGACCAGTCCCTCCTTGCAACATGCCCAAAGTATGTCAGACGAAGCTTCAGAATCCTTGACTCCAGGGAACATTCTGGCTTCACCCTC